GGGCGGCGGCCGGACTACGACTCCCAGCGTGCCCCGCAAGGCCGCCCGCCCCCTTCTCCGGCGCGTGGCCGCGGGGCGTGCTGGGAGGTGTAGTCCGCGAAGACTCCCGGACGGGGAGGACCGGGACCGGAAGGGCTTGGGGTCTCCCGCTGGGCCTGGCCCGTTTCGTCTTTTGTGATGCTTTTCGCAGGTGCTGAGCTCCCCTCGCAGCCCATGATTTTGTAAATCATGGAGCTCAGAGAGGATTTGTCCCAAGGTAGCGAGCAAGCCCCTCGCTCCCAGCTGCTGGGTAGCAGTCGTGGGTTTGCAGGGCTGGGCCGTGAAGACAGCGCGAGCCGGTCACCCGGGCCCAGCAGGGGTGTCCTGGAGGCCCCCCAGCGCGTGCACCGGCCTTCAGGCTAATTTAGAGCCCACAGTGGGAAAGGGAGGCTGGAGGGGTGGCTAGAGCATGCTGGGGTTTAGGGAATACGCTGCGCTGGGGACAGTTCTGAGCCCGCGGAAGGTGGTCGAATATGTGTTGAGTGAACGTCAGCATCAGCGTGGATTGGGGAGAAGCTGTTTGATTTGCATCCAACAGAAGGGGTGATTGGCTGGATGTGGGGGGGCTGGTGTCTTGGGGGATCCTCAGAAGCAGAGCCTGAGGCAGGCATTTGTGTGGAGATTTTACTCTTATAAGGGGATGCACCCAGGAGAACCCGGGAGGGGTTGGGAGGGGCAGGGGAGAGGAGGGTGCAGTGTCAGCCTGATCCCCGCGGGAGCTAAGGCTGTCTATGGGGCCTGAGCTCCTGGTGCTTCCAGGCCCAGCCAGGGCTGCCCTCCCCAGAGAGTCCCAGAGAAGCTGGGGGAGAGGCGGAGGGAAGGCCAAGTGTCCAAGGTGATAGCCAGATAAGGGAGCAGTGGGTGCCTGTGGGACGAGGGGACACCGTAAGGTGGGCACCTGGGAAGAGGAGAGATTATGGCTCTGAAGGCCCAGCTGGTGGATTTGCTAGGGCAGGGCCAGAGTGCAGTGTGTGGGGCTATCTATGAAGAAAAGAGGTCACTGGTTTGGGGGATGTTGCCAGAGCCACTTGGGGATTGCAAAGTCAGGGGGCTGAGAGGAAGGTGGATAGAAGGGTCTGCAACTGAGACGTGAGACTGGAACAGGAGTGTGTAAACTGGGAGGGGTCATGAAGCCTTCTGGAGAGAAGCTCAGGACCCCACTCTGAGGAGCCTCAGCCATAGGGAGCCCACAAAAAAAGGACAGGTAGGCAAGGCCAGAGATGGAGAGAACCAGGAGGAAGCGGCATCTGGGGACCTCCAGAAGAGAATCTTCTAGGAGGGAAGTAGTCGGACAGTTGTTCAGGTTGAGCACTACACAAGCCACTCACCCCATCGGCATCACAGATGAGTATATTTATACCAATATCCTAAGGTTGCTGTAACAAACTACCTCAAACTTGGCTTAAAACCACAGGAATTTATGGTCTCCCAGTTCTGGAGACCAGAGGTCTGAAATCAAGGTGTGGGCAGGGCCGCACTCTGTCCGAAAGCTCTAGGGGAGGGTCCTTCCTGCCTTTCCTAGCTTCTGGGGCTACTTGGCTTGTGGCCACATCCCTCCCATCTCTGCCCCTGTCTTCACATGGCTTCTACTCTGTCTTATCTTATAAGGACACCAGTCATTGGATTGTACCCCACTCCAGTATGATATCATCTTAACTCCTTACAACTGTAAAGACCCTGTTTCCAAATAAGGTTACATTCTGAGGTTCTGGATGGACATGGATTTGGGGGGCACTAGCCACCCCAGGACAGGGATGTTGAAGCTGCAGGCTGTAGGCAGTCCAGAATAGCAGGGACCCAGGAGGCATAAGCAGGGCAAGTCCAGGCACCTGGGCTCACCTGGGCTCCCAGGCCACAGCCAGCAGTGAACTGGGAAGACAGGCTCTTTGTTGGTAGCACCTGACTCTGTGCTCACAGAATAATCCAGAGCCCTAACGTGACCTGATGCGTCAGGAGCAGAAGCCTAGTGCCAGGCACCTTCACTCCCATGCATGGCTGCACGTTGTACCCCTGATGCTGAGGGGCTAAGCAAGCCACCCAGGGCTGTTCTTGAGAGCACCGTCAGCACGTCATATTTGGGGAGAAATCACCCCACATCCCCTCCGCTGGTGTCTCTTGAGAAACAGAAAGCACTGGCCACCAGGGCTAGTGGTAGCAGCTGTGGCATCCCCATCCGGACACCTCCCTGCTGGCCTCCAAGACCCCTGGAGTACAAACATAGACGTGGAGTGATGGGCTGACGAACTGAAGGCCACACAGCCACCAAAGGGCAGAGCCAGACTCAGACCCAGAGGGTATAGCCCTGAGGCCTCCTTCTTAACTGCCGTGTTGCTGATAGTAGTGACAGCAGGGACAGGAGCTGAGTCTGTCCCTGTGCGGGTCACCAACAGTAAACGCACAAAGCACCAGCAGGTCCAGGCCAGGCTTCCTCAGCCCCAATCACTGTCTGTGGGAGGCCATCCTGGGCACTGCAGGTACTGAGCAGCATCCCTGGCCTCCACCCACTCCATGCCAGGAGCTCCCCCCCCCCCCTCGTGACAACCACAAATGTCCCCAGACATGGCCCAGTCTCTGGGGGCAACATTGCCCCCTAGTACCACCACCAGTTGAGAAACACTAAGGTGAAAAGTTAAGTCCTCCATGTCTCTTTCTGGAGACATTCCATAAATATATTTTTTATTTATTTAACAAACATTCACATGCTTTACAAACTTCTGCATGTAGGAGTGGACACCAATGGAGCCCCCCTAAGTGCCCAGTCTCCATTTTGCACACAGGGAAACTGAGGCCCAGAGCCCAGAGTCACTCAACAGAGCTAAGATTCCAGCCCAGGCCTGCCCGAGTCCAGACATGATTCAGCTGGAACCTGCCGGGGAACCCCTAGGAGAGCAGATATGAGGCCACTAGGAAGCAGAGTGTCACCTTCCTGTGCTCCTAATCCCTTGTCACTGCTGTCACCTTGCTGGGCCATAACCACCCCTTAGGGTGTCTTCTTGCCCCACGAGGTGGGGAGTGTGTGGTAAACAGCGCCTGGTCATAGCTAATGAGAAGTATGCGGGCCCCTCCCACATGCTGGGCTCTGTCGTGGGCACCTGGCACACACTCTATTCTTCCATCCCTGCAAAAATTCTGAGGGGCAGGGATCAGACAGCAGTGGCGATTTGCCAAGGCCTCGCAGCCAGGAGGCAGCAGGCAGCACTCAGGCCAGGCCAGGCACAGAGCCCTGCATGCAGATGGCATTCAGTAGACACTTGGGGAACCAACGGTGCCCAGATTTCTGCCCCATTGGCTACCACCTCCAGACAAGAGCAGATTCGTGTGAGAGAATGGCTGGGTGGACAGGGGGCCCCTGGCAGAGGGAGGCGTCAGGGCTCAGAGTTGGGTGAATCTTGGATGACAATTATCAGTCAGGAGCTGCTGCATTGCACATCAGCAACAAACACCCAAGACCTCAGGGACTTCATCACAAGCAGAGATCTATTCCCACTGACACCACAGGGGTCGGCAGGGGGGCTCTCGAGCTTACATGATCACAGCAGCAGAGCGTGGGCCTGGGGAACAGCGCCCTGGCTCTTAGAAAAATGCCGATCAAGGGCTGGTTGGTTGGCTCAGTCGGTTGAAGCATGGTGTTGATAATACCAGGCTTCAGGGTTCAACGCCTGCTCTGGCCAGCCACCTAAAAAAAGAAAAGAAAAATGTCCATCAGAAGTGTACCACACGCCTGTGCTCACATGTCAGTGGCAGCAAGCCCCTAACTTCAAAGGGGCAAAGTGTGCAGGAGGAAGAGAGCTGGAGAGTTTGTGGCACAGCACTGCAGAGGTCAGCCCCAGGGTGCCCCCAGAGCCTCGCCTCCTAGGACTCATGCCCCGGGGCGGCCCCCTACCACATCAAGCAATGTCAGAGGTGACAGAGCATGGCTCCCAAAGACAGGCCACAAACGCAGCGTGGTGTCCTTGATCTCCGTTGGATCATTAGCTCAGGAGCCAGCCATGCTGTGGGGAGGAACTGAGGACCCCAACCACAAGCCGGCACCTCCTCGCCGGCGTGGGAGGCTCCGTAGCACAGCTCACAGCTTGACTGCAGCCTCATGAGGGACCCTGAGCCAGAACCACCCAGCCAAGTGCCACCAAGCTCCCAACACTCAGAAACTGTGACATGGGATGTGGGTTATGTCCCTGGGCCACTGGGCTGGGGGCGGTTTGTTCTGTGGCAGTAGGTAATGGACACAGGCACTCCTAGCTGCTGCATATACACATGGAGCTCCCCAAACAGCCTTTCCCAGTGAGGGGAACTAACAATCCCAGCTCCTGCAAAGGGTTGCAATGAGGCAAGGTGCACAGTAGAGTTGGCAGTAATGGGCTCGAGCATTATTGAGTGCCAACACTGCACGAGGCACTGCCATCAGCCTTTACAGGGACAACCTCACTGGCTGTAAAGCTGCCAGCAAATCACAAGGGCCAGGAAATGGGAAGGAAAAAGGAATTGATAGCCAATAGGGTGAGAATTGAGCCCCAGGCCCTGCCCTCCCTCTCTGGGCCTCAGTTTCCTCCTCTGTCACAGGTTTTGACCTGTGATCTCTTTGGGATGGCACATCTATCCCTAAATCCTTACTAATCAGCAGTGATGAGCGGAGTGGCCAGTGTTCTTCGAGCACCCACTGCATGCTGGCCAGCATTTGCCGGGCACCCACTGCATGCTGGCCAGCATTTGCTGAGCACCTACTGTGCACGAGCCAGCATCTTCTGAGCAACCATAGCACACCCCACCGGGCCATAGAAAGGGGAGGCAGTGTGTCCCAGTCACACACAAGGTAAGGGTGGATCTGCCATGTGAACCTAGGATCTGCCTCTTCCTCTCTAGGATCCCTGGTCAGACCATAAGATGGCTCTGAGCCTCAGTTTCCCCATATGTTGTAGTAGAAGTAACAACAGGCATTCCCCAAGGGCTTGCTGGGGGCCAGGCACTGCGATGTTGATCCACTGAGGGGTGGTCTGCCTGCATCTAGCCGCGGGGCACTCCTGCCGCCCCTGGCGCCCTCCACCAGAAGGAGCTCTGCCTCTGCACTCAGATCACAGCACTGCATGGCATGTAGTAGGGCCAGGTTCCTTGTCAGGGGCAAGCAATCATACCCACCGCCGAGCCAGCAGCAGAGCCAACAGACTTTTTCTGTAAAAGGCCAGATGGTAAATGTTTTCAGCGAGTGCAGTGTCATTTGAGAGCAACTGGAGTCCCATGGGCAGATGCCTGAACATGCCTATTGGTTGATCCAGCAGACATTTATTGAGTACTGCTGGGTACCAGGCAGGGTTGTAGGCACTAGAGCTGTTAACAGTGACCAGCAAGTTAACCCCCGGGCTCTGGGGCTGACAGGATGGTGGCAGAGACGTGAACCTAACAGGTCATACAGCAAGTCAGGCGGTGCAAACTGCTAGCAAGAAAACAGGGAGAGTTAGGGAGTCAGGGCAGGTGGCACTTGAGCAAAGACCCGGAGGAGAGGAGCCCTGGGGAGATCTGGGGAAGGCATCCAGGTGGAGCCTGTGCAAAGGCCCTGAGGCCAGCATGCCCTGGCGTGTTGGAGGAACAGTGAAGAGGCCCGTGTGGCTGCAGCAGAGGGAGAGAGTGGCTGAGGGGTGGGTGGGAGGCCGAGGGCAGTGGGCAGTGCTGGGCTGTCCCAACGCCCCCATCCCCCCGCAGGACAGCTTTCAACAACAATGTCAGCGTGGCCTATGAGTGCCTGAGTGCCAGCGGGCGCAAGAAGCAGCCGGGGCTGGACGGGCGCACCTACAGCGAGCTGCTCAAGCGCATCTGCAGGGACGGCGAGGCCCCCGAGGAGGTGGTGGCACCGCTGCTACGCAAGATCCAGTGCCGCGACCACGAGGCGGTGCCGCTGGACGTGTTCCGCGCCGGCATGCTCACCTGCTTCGTGCTGCTGGAGTTCGTGGCGCGGGCCGGTGCCCTCTTCCAGCTGCTGGAGGAGCCAGCCCTGGCCGCAGCCGACCGCCGCGTGGCCCAGGCCGCGCTGGACAGCCTGGAGGGCGCCCTGCAGGCCGGCGATGGTGCCAACGTGCCCGCCCACTACCTGGAGGCCGGCTCGCGCCTGGGGCCTGACGGGCTGGCCCTGGCCATGCAGCGCGCTGCGGCGGGGAGGCGGCCCTGTGTGCCCATGATGCGCGACGAGTTCCTGGGGAAGGCCGCTGCCCTCTTCATCGCCAAGGTCAAGCCGGTGGGCTGAGCAGACCCAGGGTGGGACACGGATCACAGCCAGGACTGGGGTGTCCCCACGCCCAGACGAGGACGTGGAACGACACCCCCGGCCCCCTAGGGAAGAGGCCGGGCTCCCAGGAAGGGGACCCCCTCCCCGCACACCCTGGCTGCCTCCTGCCAGCCCCTCCTCCACCCACACAGGCTCCTGGCCCCAGAGTAATAAAGTCTGTCACCCAGGCTGACCCTGGTGTGTATGCCCACGTGCCACTCCCCAGCCCCTGTCTTTGATCAGCCTCGTAATTACTGCACCCCAGGAGCGCCAGGCCCCTTGGGCTTGGTTTTGTGGGCGCAGAGGGCCTGGAACACCCAGCAAGGTCCTGCTGAGGGTGGGGCCACCCCCTCGGGAATGCAGGACCCTAGCCCTGCCCTCCCCAAGTAGTTCCTCCCTAGGCCTTGGTTTCCCCAGCTGTCAAACGAAGAGGTCAGCTGGACAGATGGTAGTGGCATCGATGACAGCTCCAAGGCTTTTAAGCAACTGCAGCGTCTTATTTGATTCTCACCACTGCCCTACGAGGAAGGTAAATTACAACCTCATTTGGCAGATGGGGAAATCGAGGCCCAGGCAGGTGGACGGTCTCACCGCCAGCAAGAGACCGCCCCAGAATACACACCCTAGTCTGCCTCCCACCACCCACCCTAGGTCCATTCGGAACCCACACATATCTGTGAGCTTCAGCCAATGAATATTTACCAAGCACCCCCTTGGCATCCCACCACCAGGAACGGGAATACTTGGATGGAGAATTCTACAGGGAGCAGAAAGAAAAATCTGCAATCAGATTCCCAGCTAGGAGGACTGCTGGCAGGTGACTTCATGCTCCTGGCCTCAGTCTCTCCCTCTGTTAAGTGGGACTTATGGCTAACCCTGTTCTGATTGAGTGAGCTCCCAGGAGAACAGAATTTTAAAATTTTTTTATGAGCTCGGTGATGATGTCAGAGATGCCCCCGTCACTGTTTCCCAGCATTGAGCTTGGCACAGGGTGGGCAGTGAGTGAATTGTGGGGAACTCTTTCCAAAATCAGCCACAGAGCTATTTTCACGCCTTCTGCCACTTCCCCCTCAGAGCAGGTGGAGGGGCAGAGCCTGCCCCTCCCCAGACTCGAGCAGCTTCCTAGGCCCCGTCACAAGAGGCAACAGGGTCTCCCCTGGCCGTCTCCTGGGATCCCCGCCCTGGGACTTGGGTGGGGGCCCTGCCTGGCAGCTCCTGCTTTGCAGATTCATTAGCTAAATAAATGACTATATTGTTTCAAGCTGCTAAGTTGTGGGGTGATTTGTTACACAGCAGTGGGTAACTGGAGTATGAAGGAAAAGTGTCCCAGTCCCTAAGTGTCAGCTGCTCTGATTATATTTCTAGTGCTCCACACAGGAAACACACAGAAGTGTTAGTGATTGAGCTGCTGTGGGCTGAACAGCAGGGAACATAATATGGGTGAGGTCCCTATCCTCCTGGAGCCCCAGCTGAGCAGACTGCTTGGCTTTAAGTGCCAAGCTGTCCTGGAGACCAGGAAGGGATGCAGGACACAGGGGCTTCCAGCAGACTCATGGGCCCAGGAGGCTCCATCCCCGCTTCTGAGGTGGCCCGTGAGTGACTGACCCAGGGATACCCATCATGTCTGGTCTGGGGCCCAGAAGTCCCCATACATCATGATCCTGGCTTGCCCCTTGCTGGCACAGCTGTGGGAAGCTGATCTGTCCTGCCTGCCTGGCTTGACCTCACAGCAGTGTCGAACGCTGCAACCCCCTTCCGACAACACCCGAAATTCATGCCCCCACCCCCACCAGCCGTGGTGGCCCCTCCACAGCCCCTGTTGGCAGGTTTGACTCTTTCTCAGCTTCTCTGGTGGAAGGTGTCCTCCCGGCTTGCTCAGGGGCATCTCCTACTCTCAGGAGTCCTCTTTGCCTGGGCGCTCACTGGCTGTGGCTTCAGTCACTGCCTGGTGGCCAAGGACTCTCAAATTCACACCTCAGGCTCCCAGCGCTGATGTGGCCCAGCTCTTGGGAGCCAACCACCTGCTGGGTGTCTCTACTGGGGCTGGCCACATCCAAGACAGAGCTTCTGGTGAGCCCACCCCGATCCCAGGGCTCCTCTGCAGTTTCTGGTCTCCATGGAAACAGGCCTGGGTGCCTCCCTCGACCCCATGGTGGGCCCTTCACCTCATCCTGCTGATGGCACCTCATAACTTCATCACGCCTGCTCTTCCCACACTGTTCCAGCTGGCATCCTCGCCCACCTGGACCACCCCGCCAGCCCACACTGGCCAATCAGAACATCCCAGTCCCCCTGGCCTCAGTGATCAGTCCAAAAACAAGCAGGTGCCCCAGATAGCCGATCAGATTCAGCCCTGGGACTTTTCAGAGCATGCCAGTCCCCCTGGGCACAGTGATTGATCCAGAAACAAGCATGTGACCCCAGCTGGCCAATGAGATGCAGCCCTGGGACTTCTTCTGGGAGCACTGAGCCAGATGACTGACGTGATAGGATCTGGGCCAGATTCCGGAACCATCTTGGCACCACAAGGCCTGTGAACAGAGTGAACACTCAGGAAAGCTGAGCTGAGGGCCTCCCCAGCTTCTTTTAGCCTCTGTCCCCACACTCTCTCTGCCCCAGGCACTCTGGCCTCTAGCTAGCCCACCTTGTGCCCACCTCAGGGCCTCTGCACACGCTGTTCCCTCCCCCTGCAACACCGTTCCTCCAGACCCACACGGCTCCCTTCTGTGCTCCATTCTGGTCTCTGCTCAAATTCACCTCCTGAGAGGTGCCTCCCTGACCCCAACACCCAAAACAACACTTCTTGCCTCCCCGTTGCTCTCTAACCCCTCATCTGCTGTATTTTTCTCCACAGAAGTTAGTTACCAGAAAATGCTTATTCATTTATATGCTTGTTTATGGCCTCTCTCCCTGTGTTCTTGAGGGCAGGAATTTTGCCAGTTTCGTTCACTGCTGTAGCCCCTGAACCTAGATTTGCACATGGAAGGCCAGGAAAGAAGGAAGGAATTTTCCTGAGGAAGAATCTGAAACTCATTGAGGTTAGTTAATGTGCGTACTCCCTGTTGCTGCCATAACAAATTATCACAAACTAAGTGACTTAAACAACACAAATTTATTATTTCACAGTTCTGGAGGTCAGAAGTCCTAAAATCGAGGCGGGGACAGGGCTGGAGGCTCCAGGGGAGGACCCGTGTCCTCCTTTCCCAGATTCTAGAGGCATCTGCCGCCCTCAGCGTGTGGCCCTTTCCTACATCAGCAAAGCCAGCAGTGCACCATCTTTCAGTCTCTCTCTGACTCCAGCCTTGTGAGGACACTGAGACCCCAGATAACCCAGGATGACCCCCATCTCAAGGTCCTCAACTTCATCCCTTTGCCTGACTGCTACAGCCCCTCTGCCTCCTGAGGTCAGGTCTTTCTTCCCCACAAGGCATAATAGCAGCAAAACACTGTTATGTATGTCTCTCTAACATCTTTGGGCTCCATGCTAAGAGTTTTTCACATATCTTCTCAATTAACCCATTTTATAGAAGAAAACTGAAACTTGATTTACAGTTTGAGGAACATTCCCACAAACACAGCAGAAACTAGATTTGAGTCCAGGGCTCTGCTGTGGCATGTGATGGGAGGCCCAATTCAACCTGACTTAATAAAGAAAGGAGGATGGACCATCCTTGGACTATCCAGGGGAGGTCAGGTGTGGATGGGTCCAGGAGCATACACAGGGTTACCAGCTTTTCTGAGTGCTGAATCTGTTCACAGGCCTCATGGTGACAAGATGGCCCCATGACTCCAGGCCCCAGTCCTCCCAGCTCAGCCACCGCAGCACAGTGTTCCCAAAAATGTCCCAGAGATGTCTCTCATTGGATGGCCAGGATTCACATACTTGTTTCTGAACCAATCACTGTAGCCTGGGAAAGGGATGGAATATTTTGATTGGACGACCCATCCCTGCAGCCAGGGCTCGGGATCAATCCAATTTGAAACCTTCAGACCAAGAGTAGGGAGCCCCCAGATGTCCACCACCCGAAATGCTCTAGAGCCTGAGCAGAAGGCTTTCCTTGGATTGGGGCTTCATATGGGACCACCTGGAGGGGCTGTAAACCCAGTGCCTCCCTGTACCCAATTCTTCCCCGGGATGTGGGGTGTACACAGGAAGGAAGATCTAGGGAAACCCTGGAGGAGGAATCATGATTAATTCTAATTACTATTTATTGATGAGTTGCTGCGTGCCAGCTGCGTGCCAACTCCATGACATCAGCACTGTCAACAGCCCTGTGTTGTGAGAGGATGAGGGTTAGGGAAAACTCAGAACCCTTGGGAAAGGGTACACAGCCAGAGAGCTCCACTTGTCCAGACACCCCTTGTTTTAGTCTAGGGCCCCGAGGTGCTGGGCAGGAGGTCCTGCGTGAGGATGCCGGCCCCTTTATGGATGGAGGGGAAAGCCAAGGCCTGGGCACTGGGCAAAGGCCTGGGCACTGGGCAGCCACTGGAAGCTGCTGCTTAGCCCAGCGTTGTTCCTTGGACTCCGTCCCTCCCACTTTGACATCCTGTTTTCCTGTCCTCAGACAGGTTTACCTGCCTGTCCTTGGCGGGGACTCCTGACTCATAGGACACCTGCGGGAGGGGGTCACCTCGGCCTAGCCCGAGGTGTTGATGCATCTGTCGGCTGTCCGGGACACCTGCCAGTCAGGCAGCAGCCACCACCTCCCTGAGGAGGCTCTGCGGAGCCACCCTTGCCACACACAGCTCTCATGGCCAAGCGTCCTGTTTGGGTGTGGGGCTCTTGCTTACCCAGGCAGGAAGTTTGTGGGTGTCTGGACCAGGACTCGGGCAGCGGAGCAGTGAAGCCCAGGTTCCGGGCTCACCTGGGGTCAGGACTCAGGTGGGGTCACATATCAGCCAAGAGGAGGGCACAGCCAGGGTCGGAGCTCAGTGTGGGGATTCCAGCTCCATCAGGATGGGGGCCCTGTCCCGGGTCCAGTGCCAATCAGTACTGTCCAATGGACGCTGAATCTCTTTACCGGTTCCTCCGGGGTGGAGCATCTTGCCCACCTCTCGTGATTCCAGTGTATCCCAGTCAATCAAAGCAAGGGGTGACTTTAACAGGGTCCCCCCATCACACTTCCCCGTCAGGCTCCTCGCGGCATGCCCTCAGCCCCTTCACTGCCCTGTCCCTGACCTCGGTTCTGTTCTCAGCCCCGTTTTACAGGAAACTGAGGCACTGCCCCGTCTACAGACCCCGGGCCGAGCTCTCGCCGCCTGCCCGCTCCCGGCCCATCCCCTCTACAGATGGGGAAACTGAGGCTCGGGGGCCGACACACCACACCGTACGCGTCCTGCCTCCATCCCCCGACCCCGGGCCGGCCCGGGAACCGGCGCCAGCGCGCCCCTTCCCGACCCCAGCCCCCCAATTCCCCGCCCGCGGCCCCACCCCTCGCTGGGGACGTCACAAAAAGGACCCCAAAAGCCGCGGCGGGCCGGGGCGG